AGCCCAGTCGTAGTTCAGCAATATCTGGAGGGCCCTAGCCCCCACTGCCATAAGGAGGGCTTTTACTCACCGTATCCGTGTTAAATTTCCCATGTCCTTTCAAGTAGTTCTGAAGTCCTGGGCTCATACTTCTTGGAGGGGACAGCTGGGGAACCTGCTTCTTGCCGCTGGCCTTCTGTTTGACATGTCCCGGTTGGGGTTTGCTTGCCGCTCTGCTGTGGGCTCTGCCACCTGCTCCAGCTCCTGCCTCCATCTTCCGCATCCTGGCAGAAGGCAGTCTTTGGGCTTCCGCCTCTCTGTCTCCTTCACGGGGTGCGTGGAGAGGCTTCTTGGCTCCTCCAGCCCCAGCTGGGTCCACCAGCCCTTTCCCAGCCCATTTCCCACGGACTTGAGCCAGGGTGCAAAACTGAACGGAAAGCACCGCAAAGGTAGCCACTGCGGAAACCCTCATCCTCTCTTCCTGCCTGGGTTTTCTCTCTGGGCAAAGGGCTGCTGTTGCCTTGGAGCTTGCCGGAGAGATTAAAACCAGCCACACATGCATGTGGGTGATGTCTCTGCATCAAGAGTGGGAGCCCTTTTATGCGTCTGGATTCCCAGCTTAACCCCCACCCCACCCCCTTTCCCCCCTTTTTGTGATACTGAAATTCTAGCTCGCGCCTCCTGCTTGGAAAATCCTCCCTCCCTCTTTCCTTTACGCCCCCACCCCGCAGCAGCAACACCCAACTCCTTTGTAAAACGCAAGCATGTCCTTCCCGCTCGATGCCACCTTTCCCCATTGTGGTCATGGAACAATTTGATTTTTATTATTTTAGCTAAGCAGGTGCTGCAAGGTACTGAGTGAGCTGTGCTGGTTAAAAAAAAAAAAGCTTTCCTAGGCTGGGCAAAAGTGTGTCACCTGTGTGCACAGATTAAAGCTGTCTGTGGACAAACTCTGGTTCCGTCAGCCTGAAAGCGAGATGAGCGCCGCAACCCCATAGTCGCCTTTGACTGGACTTAATCATCCAGGGGTCCTTTACCTTTACCTTACAGATTAAAGGTACTTTCTTGCACTCAATGCCTTATTTTAGATGTATTGATCAGTCCTGTTTGTCACCCCTCCTTGCAACTCATTTTGTTCTACTGGATAGGACTGTTGGCTGTGAAGCATCTTCAGATCACAGGCACTACCCTAAACTGAGCTCTGATCTAAGCTTGGTGGCAGAAAGTGTTTCAGCCCCCCCCCCCCCCCCGAAGGAGGCTGGCCTGGAGTTTTAGCCTACCACTGTGCCTGGCGCAGTACCTTGGAGAGGAAAACCACAACGGCCCTTTTGTCGGACGTTTCCTTTGAGCCATCTTGTGTGCTGCTGAACAAATCCTTCCCCCACCTGCAAGCATTGGAGCAGAGACACTACATGCCTATTGCTCTCTTGAGTCACCACCGTGACATGTAACTTGGGGCAATGCCCACACTAGGGTCCCTTTTGCCACACTGCTGTTCCCAGCAGCCTCTGGGACACCACAAGAGCGCCTAGTCCAGGAATGCAATTTGGTTGGCACACCCCACCTTTGAGAAAATGGGTTCAAACCATCACTTGCAGAAAACAGCCTAAGGCAAGGATGGCCAATGTGGTATGTTCCAAATGTTGTGGACTGCATCCCCCACCATCCTTGACTGATGGCCACACTGGCTAGGGCGGATGGGAGTCATAGGTCAAAACAAGATGCTGCATATCTGTGATAAAGTACAGAGTTGGAGGGCAACCCGTTAGGCCGCCACACTGGGTGCCGCACCATAGGGGTCTCCACACCAATGTTGTAGAATGCAGCATGAGAGATGGGGGGATTTTAGCATCACACAGGGTGCTGCTGAAATTTGGGAGCCCAAAGTCCACCACCGCTTAAATGAGTTAAAACACATTTGGGCCCACCTCCCACATACATAAATCAGAGTCACGTAACATGATAGAGGTAGCAGTGTCTTGAATGTGTAACCAGGCTAAATGCTGCCTTTTGGCTTGAAGGTAAAATTTGAATTAAAGTAAAATTAAAATTGTTACATTCAGTTTCAAAATGAGCTTCTTGCATCTACTACTAACACTGCACCATCTGTTAAAAAATTTTTTATTTCCAATAGTTCTTCATGGGGGAGAGGTTGCATAATTCAATTTTCTTGGTGCAGGGTTTCCATTTTTTAAATTTTTAGGTCATAGGCCTAGCCAGTGCTTTTTTTCCCTGGGGGTATGCAGCGGTACGCATACCCCTAAACATTTTATGAATCTTTGTAGTTTTGTCCACTTTATTTTTCCCAATTTGAACTATAAAATGGTGATTTTCTTGAGTCAGAATGAGAGTACCCTTAAACGGTTTTTTAGAAAAAAAGCACTGGGCCTAGCAGTAAAGAATGGTGAAGGGAGAAAGGGAAGATGGAGAGACCCAGCCAGCCAGCCTCCCTTCCTCTTCTCCTCATGCAATCACAGAGCCCACTTGATTCAGTTCAAAAGCAGGCCCAGGTAGGAGAGAGAGATGTTGGTGCATCTGCCCATTTCAGGGCGCAGAAGGGGCTGCCCAACTCTTAAGTCAACTTCCAGCGCTTCGCCACAGGCCACTGCTGAGCCTTGAGCCTTGCCACATTCACGCTGGTGGCACTGATGTCTGGCGAAACTGGCTCATAAGAACGGAGGGAGAAGCTGGCGGACAAGAGGCCCATCCGGACACAATCATCCATGTCTTCTCCAGCAAGCAGCCCGGCGAGGATTCCAGCCATTAAGCTGAAGAGAGAAGAGGCCAACTCAGCTTACCGAAGGAAAAAGACTAAGCTCTTCAGCAACTGAATTTCACCGTTTATGGTGGTTTTATTTTAGTGTTCTCATCCTGCACCCCAGTATAAACCCCTTGTCCCTCTCCCAGACCCACATTTCCCTGGCATCAGAGGATGACTGTCGTGCTGGCACCACCATGAGCAGTTCATGGAGAACCTTTTGAGACGTCAAGGTCTTGAAGGCTCCCATTTCAGCAAAGCCCGGCTGCCCCACTAAGAGGCTCCAGGTGCTTTTTACAATTGCGGCGTCTGGAAGCACGTGGAGCAAAGATGTCAATGTCTTGTTGAGACTTAATTGCCTCCATTTCTCTCCCTTTCATATAAAGGCTCAGGAAAATGACAGCTCACAATAAACCTTCCCGTTTCTCTCACCACCTCCGGATAAATATTTGGACTAGCGATTCCTTAGCAATGCCGCGTACATGCAGGCACTGTTATGTTGTCACAGCAACCGGGGGGGGGGCAGGGGCCAAGGAGAGGAAGGTGGAGGAGCCTGATGCTGTGGCAGGAACCTCTCTGGGCAGCTGGCAACATACCTGTCACCTGCTCCAGAGACATTGACTATCTCCTCCGCGGGGACAGGGATCGCTGGGTAGTGAACAGCACACAACTCATCTGCAGCAGTGGCCTGCAAGGTGAGATAGGAGAGAGAATGGGGGAAACACTCTGAACCTGGTGAACTGTAAGACAAATTCCAGCTCCTTTTATACACTGTCAGGTGAATGCTAGAGGTAGAAAAGACCCTAGAGGTGGGGAGCCAGAGACCCAACCGAACTACGCATGGAGTTGGCATGAGAAGGGAACTTCTCATTCATTTCAGGAGAAGCCAGTGCGGTGAAGAGGTTAGCATGCGGGACCAGGACATGAGAGTCCAGGGTTCAAATCCCCACTTGGGTCATGAAGCTCACTGGCTGGCCTTGGGCCATTCACGGTTGCTCAGCCTATTGCAACCTCATAGGGTTTTGATGGTAAAATGGAGATGAGAACTAAGTTCAGTCATACCTTGGTTTTCGAACAGCTTAGTTCTCGAAGTTTTGGCTCCTGAACGCTGCAAACCCGGAAGTGACTGTTCCGGTTTGTGAACTATTTTTGGAAGCCGAATGTCTGATGGGGCTTCCACGGCTTCCGATTCACTGCAGGAAGCTCCTGCAGACAATCAGAAGCCGCGTTTTGGTTTCCAAACATTTTGGAAGTCGAACGGATTTCCGGAACAGATTCCATTCAGCTTCCAAGGTACAAATGTACACTTCCTAGATCTATTTGGAATAAAGATGAGAGAGAAATGTAACAGTAGTAGGGCAGGTAATAAGCTCTGCTTGATAAAGGGTCGTGTCATACTAGTAAGCACTTATTACCACAGGGATCAGGTTAGGAGTACCTCCACAAGTGAAGCTAATTTCTATTTTAGGAGTGATACCCTAAAAAAATTCATTCTCAAATGTCATACTTGCAAATGAACATCCAGAAATCTATTTGAAAATATGTGCTAGGTTCCCCCCCACACACACACACACACATTTCGATGGGTACCACACAATAACAAAAGTTCTCCGGGGGGTTGCAAGTCAACAATTAAAACCATAAAACAAAGATGAAATCTTGTCCAGAATAAAACCAGCAGCTGACAGTAGAGTCAGTACAACAGATCTAAAAAGTACTGAAATAAGATTGAAAAGTTCCCTTCATCAAATAGCTGAACAGTGGGATTTCTGGGGTTATTTGTTTTTTAAGGGGTATACACATGTACTCTGCTTCATGAATGCTTTGTTGGACTGAAACTGGCCCATAAAAGCAATATTGACTACTCTGAAAATCTCAGGTTATCAATTTTTTCTGAGAAAAGTTACTGGTCCTCATGTTTGCAAAGATTGAGTCCTGCCAGATCAGACCAATGATCCTTCTAGTCCAGAATCCTGTTCTCACAGCAACCAGGCAAGATGCCTGTGGGAAGCCTGACAGAAGGACCCAAGTACAGCAGCGCTCTTTCCAACTTGTGACTCCCAGCAGCTGGTCTTCAGAGGCATACTCTGACCAGCAGTGGAGGCACGGCATTGCGGTGGGTTGGTATGGTAGCCAGCCTTTGTCTTATTCTCTCTTAAAGCCATCCAAGTTGGTGGCCATCATTGCCTTGTCTGGAAGCAAACTCCATAGTTTTAACTATGCACTGTGTGAAGAAGTCCATTCTTTTATCTGTCCTGAATTTTCCCACATTCAGCTTCATGGGACGTCCATGAGTTCTAGTGTAATGAAAGATGGATAAAAAACTTCCTTTTGCCTACACAATCTACTGAAAACTCAAAAACCAAAGTGAGGATGGGACAACATTTTTAATAGCTTCCATTTTTCTGCAGTATTTGAATTCTGTCTCCCAGGGTCAAATTTCTGCCTACACTGACATTATCCCTAGATAGACAGAATTCTTATTAAATTTTCTGTGTTACAATTTAGAATACTCGTTTAATCATCCTTAAAATATCAATGACTTCCCCCCTTCTCCTTCCATGGTTCATTTTGCCGATCATAAATCCCTGCATATTTTACATATACTAAACCATTCAATACTCCATTATTACATCGCATCAAAACTTATTTACACTGCTGAATTTATCTTAATGCTGCCAACGTTTTCATACACAATTTCCCCCCACATATTCAATAAACATTTTCCAATCTTCTCTAAATGTATGTTCTTCTTGTTCTCTTATTCTGTATATTAAATCCACAAGCTAAACATCAGCTTAAATTGCCACAATATCCCTAGATTTTTAATGCTTAACTGTCAAGATTTCCTCCCAAGGAACTCTGGGAAATGGTGCTTGATGTAGAATTTTGCGTCAGACGTCCCTTTTCTTTATACTTCCCTGCCTGCCAAGCACCTTTTACCTGTAGCTCATGCTTCCTGCCTTCACTGTTTTTATCTCTTCACGTTTGCTGCCTTGTGCTCCTACCTTGTTGAAAGTTCCAGGGCGAAGACAGAGCCTCCCATCCATGTTCCGGCTGCAAACCAGGACGCCATGTTGGCCAAGTGTCACAACTACAAAGTACAACTCTCCCAGTAAGGGCCGGGCCAGGGTCAGAGAGGTTTTGACAGCATCTTCCAATGTAGATGGCATATCTTTAAGAGTGGAGGGAAATTAGTCACAGAGCATTAATGCCACCCATAGGGTTGGGACCCCTAGAGTCATCTAGTCCAACTCCTTGCAATGCAGGAATCCGGCCCACAGCTATCCCTGGCTGGGCTCGAATCACCAACCTCCTGGTTAACAGCCAGACGCGCTGAGCCATTGTGTCACAGAGTTTTGCTGTAAACCGCTTTGATATATTTTATGAAATGGAGGCAAACAAGTATTTTTATACATAAAATTGTCGGCATTGTCTTGTCATTCTGTGCTACAAGTGGGGAACCTTTTTCCTAGGTAGGGTCATGGTAGGAAAAGTCAGCTGGAAGGGACTAATGGTGATGGTGGACAGATGGTGATCCAGTGACAGATGTGTTTGCAAGGCTGCATGGTTCTACATCAATAATGGGGAACCTGTGGCCCTCCAGGTGTTAAAGGTAAAGGGACCCCTGACCATTAGGTCCAGTCATGGCCGACTTGGGTTGCGGTGCTCATCTCGCTTTACTGGCCGAGGGAGCCGGCGTACAGCTTCCGGGTCATGTGGCCAGCATGACTAAGCTGCTTCTGGCGTTCCTACTTGCGGGGATTTGAACTGCCGACCTTCTGATCGGCAAGTCCTAGGCTCTTTGGTTTAACCCACAGCACTACTGGACTACAATTGCCATCAGCCAGCATGGCCAATGATCAGGGGTGATGGCAGGTGTAGCCCAGAGCACACAGGTTCCCAACCTGGACAAACAATGCTAAGATAATTTGGCCACAGTCTGACTTAGTATATAAAGCAAATGCAGTATATTCCTAGCTTTGATGGAGGGGACAAAAGATTCCTAGCCTCCACTCTCAACAGTGCCTCACCTGCCGAAACAGGATGTCCCAGGGTCCGGTTGATTGCTCTTAGTTCCCGTAGATTGGGAGATATGCAGGCCAGGGCTCTCCAGCTTTCTGAAAGGAATGGCTTAGAAGCCTTGTCCACATCTGTCGGCTCGTAACACACTTCAGAAGAGCATCATATGGGGTTAGTCGATCTGACCCGACAAACGTGAATCATGTGTATTCAATGATGCATCTGTCTAGTTTACAAACATTGTCTTTCTATTAAAATGTCCAGGGCAGTACCAATGCTATAAATCTGGTTGGCTGCTGAGAAAAGCACCAGGACACACACACAAAAACAGCTTGGACATAGAGCTTTAAAGTCCAGACCTGTGCCTAGAAACACAGCACAAAAGGAAGCCCAGATGAGCCCTCCACTGACATTTACAGATGTCACTATTCAAATACAATGGTTCATATTCACTTGAGATTTCATCACATTGCATTCTTAAAATGTTGATTTACTGTACAAGAGCTAAATGCAAAGAAAAGATATATATCATTGTCATCAAGATTCTATTTATATGCCACCCTCTCTCAGAACACAGGGCGTTGAGTGTAATAGTTTTCCTGCGGTTTGGAAATAAGCAGCAAAATAAGCCAGAGTGAGATGATGCCGGGAACATTCCCTTACTAGGAGAAGGTGGAAAGGGAGGTAGCTCAGTGATAGAGCAGCTGCTTTGCATGCAGAAGGTCACAGGTAATATCCACGATGTTGCCACATAGGGCTGAGAGAGGCCCATGATTGAAACTCGAGAGCCACTGCCAGTCAGTGTGGACAATACTGAGGTAGATAGACAAAAGGTCTGACTATGTATAAGGCCACTTCCTTTGTTAACACAGTGCATTTTAGGTTGTGCATTGTGAGTGTCCCTTCTTACCTGCTAGGTGATGCTCCCTGGCAATCTGACAGACATACTGAATAGTGGACACGGGCACATTCCCATCAATGCACACAAGTGGGGCCGAGCAGAGAGTCTCCTTGAACGTGGACACCTGGAGGAAATTGCATGAGAGACAGAGACAATATTGGCAATTGGAAATCCACGTTTATTCTGGGAATGAGATGTTCCTCTTTTCCTAAAGTAAAAGAAGGAAGTTCTGTGGCTGGGCATATGCCACTTGGCCAGGGTCTTCTGGCTGCTCCCAGTGACATCACTCTGCTGCAGATCCACCATCAGCAACAGACCCAGGTCCCTTGCAGAAACATGCAGCTCCAAGTGCACCACACTCAAAGGGTTGTTGCCACGACTCAGCTTCAAATTCTGGTGGGATGGGTGGGACCAGCTGCTGAGTCATCTCCATATCTTTAGTCCTGGTCTCAGAACCCTGATGTCATTCTTGAACTCTACAGCTATGCCTTAAGATGATCTGTACCTGTAGCCTGAGTTATGCCATTGTAAGCCTTGGAAAAAAAGCTTACTTACTTACTCACACGTAAGAAGCTTTGGGACTGGAGCTAGGACAAAAATGAACTTTTTGTGGATAGGAAAGTGATGGGGAAACACTATAAAAATGTGGGATGATGGTGAGACGGCATATAGCCAACCTGCAAACACATCAGGATGCTTAGTAAGGAGCAGATATTGAGCCATCTTTGCACAAGCAATTCAGGATGCTCCATGACTAGGTCATCTGGCGGAGCCTCAGAAGGAGGTCTCCAAGGTCTAGACTAGGCTTCCTCAACCTCGGCCCTCCAGATGTCTTTGGCCTACAACTCCCATGATCCCTAGCTAGCAGGGACCAGTGGTCAGGGATGATAGGAATTGTAGTCTCAAAACATCTGGAGGGCCGAGGTTGAGGAAGCCTGGTCTAGGCAGATGCCTTCCCCACAAACCAATAGGGCTTAGTTCTCAACAAACATGAACAGGATCCAACAAATCCAAGGCATTCACATTATTTTAAAACAAGCAGTAGAATCATATGGTTACTTAGAAGTAAGGCCTGTTGGTTTCAGTGGGATATACCCCTTGGTAAGTAGGCATAGGATTGCAGTCCCAACCCTACTATATGAGTTAACTAGTGTAGACCTAGCCTAACGTTTTGCCCAGCATCCTAGTCAGGGGTGGGAAACCTCTGATCATACAGAGGTTGCTGGCTTGCCATTCTTATCATCCCTGGCCCCACTGGCTCAGGCTGATGGGATTTGTAGTCCAGCAGGCTCCCCACTCCTGATCCAACAGCCTCTTGCATTCAGTGAAGGCGACATTGCAATCAGCATCCATCAACAGGTAGAAGCCGGCAGAAATTCTGAGGCGCTTTTGTTGCTGTGTTATTCTGTGTGAATCCAAGGGAATCATATATCGTTTAATAAGCTGTGCCTCCTTTTTCCTTCCTTTAATAATGAAATGGGGATTGGAAAAAGGTAGTGAGAGGGTGGGAACAATGACCACTTTTTTCTTTCCAGGAGCTAAGCTTCAGTCTTTTAAGGGTCTTGTTGATAAGTGGATTACTGGCAGGCATTCATACCTTCTTAACCAAACAGTATCAGCTGTTAAGTGCAGACTTGGGTTTTTTTTTCCCCAACAGGCTTTTTTTCTTAATAGGGGGAAAGGGTGGGGTTGCACTTGAATCACTCCTAATCACCCCTTCCATTAAGTGTCCCAAAAATACAACTCAGCCACCAAGGAGGCTATGTTTATCTGTGTTTCTACAGCTCGGCACGTCCTAAAAACACAGAGTCTGGAAGGAGTTGTGGGTGGAGGCGGCAGTGGCAGAAAGGTGGCTTTCAGCACTCCATCACAATGCCGCCTTCCAGAATTACGGTACCCAGTTCTGGATTTCCCCTTTGTTTCCTTCCTAGGTACCCTGAGAAAACATCCTCTGCCCCTTAGGAAAGCAGAGGGCACCATAAGCAGAAAAGAGGCGGGGAGATTTCACGCTGTACGCAGAAGGGTCTTACGTATTGCTCGGTGATCTGCTGGTGGATGTCCATGTCTCCCAAGCCCAGGGAGAGCTCTCCGCTGCCGGTGAATACGGAACAATAGGTGGCTGTGTTGTGCCCTTCCAGTCGCAAGACACCTCTCATGTCCTCAAAGTAAGGTAGGGGGGAAAAGACAAATTTAGTGTTCTGTTCTCTGCAGCTCATTCGGAGCAAAATGTGCACCAGCGCCTGCCCAGCTAGTGAATGTGCTTCATCATCTGCATGATGAATCTGGCCTCCAGTTCAAGGAGACCTGGAATAACACCGTGAAGCAAATGTTAATCCAGGAAGCATCACATAGGAGCAGACTGGGACAGGTAGGCACATCCCAAGTGCACCTGGGTCTCACTGATATCCATGGCCCTGGAGCATGCAGGCCTCTCAACTTTTCCCGGCTCATTTCTGTTGCCTTCTAAATCTGCTGCCTCTATTCCACATTCTCTTTAGCTTAAAAGAGGGGTGATGAATCATTCTAGGCCAGAGAGCCGCATTCCCTTCTGGACATCCTTCTGAGGGTCCCATTCCACTGGTGGGTGGAGACTGACACAACAGTGGGCAGAAAAAGGAATGTAAAATTTACACCTTTTGTACAGCCGGCTGCTTTCTATATACACGCCCCTCTTGGTCCTCCGTCCAGACAAGGAAGAGCCATTATCAGAGTTCAAAGACACATTCCAGCCAGGCCTTGCTTACTCAGGGCTGTGACCTGGAGCGAGGCAGATGTAGTCTGGGGAGAGTTTAGCAGGTCAGGTGGATCTGAGATTCTCCTCCTCTAACTTCCCTGCTATGGAAAGGCTGTAGCTCAGTGGCAGAGCATCTGATTTGCCTGCAGAAGGTCCCTGCTTCAATCCCTGGCATCTCCAGTTAAGACAGACGCCCTAGAGAGCTTCTCCCAGTCAATGCAGACAATACTGAGCCGCACAGAGTGGCTAGGGAAATCCAGCCAGATGGGTGGGGTATAAATAATAACATTATTATTGTTATTATATTATTATTATTATATATGGACCTCACCTCTGACTAGTTATGAGGCAGCTTCCTGTGTCCCTAAAATGAAGGGCTCCCACAAGGAATCTCATAGTAAGCAGAGAGTGGGTACCTGGGACTGGAATGATGAAATTTTGTGAAAAACAGCCACCCTGCTATGGATTAGTTTAGAATAACCATAAACTGTGAGCTACCATATGCTTGCAGTAGCGTAGGGCGGACTCTGAATGCTCATCCTTCCCCATGACAGAGATAAAGAGCGGGGTCTTCCCAAGACGACTTAAGCAATCTGAAAATGGAAGAGAAATGGAACAAAGCTGGATTATCTGCCAACAACCCTAGAATCTGAAAGTCAAGGTAGAAGCATTCTGGGGTCATCAGTCAGTGAAATATCTACTGCACTCTTTTTAATTTATATAGGAAAGTGCCTTTTACCAGGCCAAACTATCCATCTGGCTCAGGATCAATAATCTGTCTTTTGAACAACTAGGAAATACCTGAGAGATGCCCTTTCCCTGCTCCTTACTGAGGATGATGCAATCTAGGTCTGCATGTGAGGAGAGGTTGCAGTTTGAGATGGAGACTAAGAGAGATGTAACACTCTCAGATTCATTATGTTTTGGTGGGATTCAAGCACATACTGACAGATTCAAGTTGCACAAATGTTGTTGGTTGGGAGGTCTTGTGCAACAAATCCACTTCCCCAAAAGATTGGACTTTTTGCAGTAAATAACACACCCTGTGAAGTGTGGGATAACACTTCGTTTGATGCAACATCTTCAAACCTCCCCACAAACAAATCAGAATGTATCCTCATTAAATATCCAAAATTGTCTAATCTGCCTGCAAACAAATGAGGACGAATGCTGAATAAACAGGTCATGTGGAAGTGCCAGAAGAGAGTGTTTTGGGGTGCTAGCTGTCTCCCTTGAGATCTGGGAGCAATGGACTGTTCCCACATTAGATCTCCAACTATGCTCAACCTGTATATTTGTAAATAAAAAGCAAATATCAAAAAAGCACCAGACAAGCCCATCCAATGACCTCCTTTCCAACAAACCTGGGGAGAGTTGAGACCCTGGAACTTTCTAGCTCAATGATGTGGAGGCTGAGCATAGCAATATGCTGGACCCAGTATCTCCCTGCAGAGAGCAAAATTAGAATGAATTACCTGCTAGATTTCTCCCTACACCTCCAAACGACTGTCTCACTGTTGATGGATTTGTCTGTCCTCCACCCTGCAAATGCAGAGAAATCCACAAAACAGGGCAAAAATTAGATATGCCTTGATTTTCCCAGATGGTACCATAATACTACTACTGTCAACACTGGCTCCAGTTAAACCCAAGTTCTATGGAGACTATTCCACTTTATGTGATCTCATGGGACTGGTACACAGGAAGCTGCCAAGTTTAGACTATTGATCCATCTAGTTAGCATTGTCTACTTTGACTGGCAGCACCTCTTAAGGATTTCAGGAAGGAGCTTTTTCCAGCCCGATAAGAAGACACTAGGGATTGAGCCTCAAAACGTCTGTATGCAAGGCAGGTGCTCTAACAATCACCTATGGTCTTTCCCCATCCAAAATGAGCTAGGCTACAGCCATTCCTTACAATAAACTTATTTCTGTCATCTGCTGAGGTTCCCATATTTCTTCTAGAAATGGAAAATCTATAAAATCCAATCGTCTACTAGGCCAACATTCATCATGGTTTGTACTTTTCTTCTGTCTCCAAGGATTAAGAAGTGTTTTCTTAGTTAATTGTTAATTAAACAACCATCATACTCTTCCATTTCTGTCTTCATCCACTTGTCAGCTATTCAGAAAGGTGGCCAGACATTTCGCTAGGGAACTCTGCTCACTTTTACCAAAGAGGTGTGTCGCATCACTTGGCATCAAATGTTCCACTAGATGACATAGGGTGAACAACTCTATTTATCAGCTTTAAACCCTCTTATTTTTCCGCACTCCACAGAGTTTTCATCACTTATTATGGAACGTTTTTATTTCTCTTAGCTCATGGGTCCATGTGTATGATGATGACAACCATCATTTTTATCATAGCAACACCTGTGACCCATAAGAAGTGGCTGGGAGGCAAGTTGTACCACACCTAGGCACCACAAGGCAGTGTTAAGCTGCCTCCTGTAGGGCGCTGGCATCTCTGGCAGCAGGAAACAAGTACTGTAGCTTACTCTCTGCACCACTGTAGTAAATTGCCAGACAAACTACTGCATTACAGTGACACTGCTACATGTGGCCAAAGGGTAGTATTGCAGCTTAGCACAAATCAGGTGGGAAAAAGGGACCAATAGGCTTTTGCCTGATCCTGTAAACCTTTTGCCTCTGAACCAGTTTCTCAGTCTCATCCAGCCTTCACCAATCTGGTGCCCTCCAGATGTTTTGGACTACAATTCCCACCAGTCCTCACCAACATGGCCATGTAGTCCAAAACATCTGGAGGGCACCAGATTGGTGAAGGCTAGTGTAAGCAACGTGTCACTCAAGTACATATTCCCAAACACCAAATTATTAGGCATGTGTTCCAAAACTGCTGGTTTTACTTATATTTCAATAAATCTTAGATCTACCTGTTTCTAAATATATATTTTAAGGGTATGCTTCTTATGGATATTTCATATTTTTTTATGTAAACCACTTAGAGGTTTTTGTTGATTAGGTGGGTTATAAATCTTGTTAAATAAATGAATTATTGAGCTGCTCACATGGGGCAGACAGACATACCTGGGGAAAGTAGTGAGCTAGGGCTTTTCTATTGCACTCTGAAGACTGTTTTCCCCCAACTTCATTTCTCTGATGACACAAATTCTGCCTTCACATCAACATCATGTACATCTGTATAAATCAGGCATAGGCAAACTCGGCCCTCCAGATGTTTTTGGACTACAACTCCCATCATCCCTAGCTAACAGGACCTGTGGTCAGGAATGGTGGAAACTGTAGTCTCAAAACATCTGGAGGGCTGAGTTTGCCTATGCCTGGTATAAATCCTCAGATGACCCATTTCTATCTGCCCAGATCAGCCCATTTCTAACCACCTATATACCTGTTTCCTTTCCTAACACCTTTTAGGCTTGGTTACCTGCTTAGGCAGTACCTGCTTGCCTCCAGACTGCCAGCCCTTATACTTCCTAATAGTCTGGAAAAGTGACATGTGAGCTCCTTGCATCCAGTGAGCTTTACAGCAACAGGTTAGGGTAAGGAAAATGGAGCTTAAATATTGCTAAGTGCAATTACCACTATTGTTGCATCTCTTGCCTTGGCTATGAAATCGACGTTGATGCCACCAATGACCACCTGAAAGGAAAACAAGAGGTGGGTGGGTCAGAGGGAGGGAGAAGCCATCAGCAGAGGTCTCTTCCAGAGCCCTTCTTCCAGGACATGCCCACAAAGCCAAGGCTGAGGAACCTGCAGCTGTCCAGACATCATTGAACACCAGTTTCCATCAACTCTGACCTTTGACCATGGGGATTGGTTCTTAGGGTGCTGGGGTCTAACGCCATCTGGAGGGCCACAGTCTCCCCAGTCCTGCTCAAAGCAGAAGACAACCACAGTTTTTGCAGTGCCACCAAGGCAGTAGAAACAAAGGAGGGTTATTGAGTCCTTGGTGGGTTAATAATGCTCAACACTTGGCTTGGTGGATCAGAAGTTGTGCAGAAGCTGATCTAGATACACCCCTCATATTAATGAAAGCTTGGTGTGCAGTAGTTATCAGACAAGAGAAGGAGGAGACATGTTTCAAGCAGATGCCTGAAAGTAGTAAATTCACAGAAATGACAGACAATGTGGTGGCATGTGTTGTGTATATTGTGGACTACAACTTCCATCAGCCTCAGCCAACATGACCAATGGTAAAGGTTGGTGGGAGTTGTAGTCCATAACATGGGGACACCTTGTTATCTATATGTGCCTCACATTATGTTGCATTTTCAAAGTCTTCCATAGGCCACCTTGAGAGGGTTCCCTGAAAGGCAGTGGGAGCAAATAAATCAACTTTGTCCACAGAAGAATGGTCAGTGCTTTTCAACCAAAAGGTTTTCCTTAGGAGCAGTAAAACAAAGTACATATTGAAAAAAGTAAATAAATGTAAAGACCTAATGCAAACTGTAAACAAACAACCTCCAGAGATAAAGTAGAAAATGATTGTTAAATTGCATTTTTAAAAACTCTCAAGATAGTCACTGTCCAACATTCATGCAACATCAGACTGCTGATAAACAACTCAGCATGTTTGCTGGAGGTTATGTTTCAGTATCCATTTTAAAATGGATGTGTTAGTTTGTGTTAGTGCCCCTGTGGATGGCCTGTGGTTGAAAATGCATTAGACATTCCTACCAAAAGAAGTTACTGCTTTTAAAAGCACTTCCTTGAGGCATGCCTCTTTGCTCTTCTTGTTCGATGACTGCAACATTTGCATTTCCAAGCAAGCATCATTGTGATAAAACAGACATTCTGTTTTCATACATGATTGGTGTACATACATCATAAACTGGCATCAGCGAGGAATTTGACTAGATGACTTTTAAGATCTCTTCATTTCAGCTCCACGTTTGTGACTTTTTGTGTTGTTTTACCTACACTGAGATTATCTCCATTTGAGAAAAAATATTTTGCAGGGAAGCACTGCTAGTCTTAGAGAAGGCAAAAGTGGTGGCTGACCTAAAGACCCTCATTTGACATAAGAGTCCCATGGACTGCAAGAAGATCAAGCCTATCCATTCTTAAGGAAATCAGCCCTGAGTGCTCACTGGAAGGACAGGTCGTGAAGCTGAGGCTCCAATACTTTGGCCACCTCATGAGAAGAGAAGACTCCCTGGAAAAGACCCTGATGTTGGGCAAGATGGAGGGCACAAGGAGAAGGGGATGACAGAGGACGAGATGGTTGGACAGTGTTCTCAAAGCTACCAGCATGAGTTTGACCAAACTGCGGGAGGCAGTGGAAGACAGGAGTGCCTGGCGTGCTGTGGTCCATGGGGTCACGAAGAGTCGGACACGACTAAACGACTAAACAACAACAACAACCACCACCACCAGGTAAGCTTTGTGCAAAAAAAATCTGGATGAATGCTCAATCATCACGTTGCCTGGAGGAGCCCGAGGCCAAGACCGCAAGGTTAAGGCAATGTGCAAATGAGCTGCAGCAGCCAAGCTGTTTCTTTCTGAGAGAGTGGCAACCCTTACGGAGCAGGCTACTCACCGGTCTTGGTACAGGAGATACTTTTTCATTTTGAGCCAAGTCGTCTCCCCAGCCCTGGGCTCTTTGAATCTTGTTCAGGGCCACAGCTATGCGGCTGCCCACCTTGGCGTTGTTCTTGATCAAGGCAATATCTGATACGGGGAAGGGTATGATGAAAGGAAAATAAAAGCAGAAGAACCCGAGAACTAAAAGAAAAGTAGGTGTAAGAAATTGGTGCAAAGATCCCCCTCTATTTTAATTTCCCAGAATGCTGCCAATGTAATGTTGCGCTGGGGCAGTGTAAGAGTCTCAGAAAGTATGGAGAACATGGGAGGGGGGGATTATGCAATTGGATTTTGAGGAGGGGAAGTAAGAAGCGAGCATTTTCAGGAAAGGATACTGGATCTAAGTGACTCCCCACTAGATAACTTGTTTAGCTTCTGCAGCAAGAAGGGTGTAAGCTCCTTTCCTGTAATCCCTTTTTCCCTGCAAATGTAACAAGAGCAATCTGGATGAGAACCAGTAATTTCATATTTGTATATGAGAAGAGCACAAATAAATCATCTTTCTATCCATAAAAAGGGGGAAACACATCAGGTGGCCCTATCTATGCTACAAACTTAATAAATATATGCATTGATTATCCAAGATGAGCTCAGCTCAGGCTTTTAAGTGGAGGAACTTGATTGGAGAAAATCTGCCCCTAGAGGGCACCCACTGGCTGGAGCTTGGGTGTCAGAGGCGGCAGGGATCTGTGGACAACTGCCCCCCTCCCTCTGGCTGGTGCTCTGGCAGACAAAAGGAAGACAAACAAAACAAACCCAGAACTTTTGTGTTATGAAAAGTTACGGGATTTCAGCAGCAGCTTACCGAGCCTCTCTCAAAGCCTGCTGGATTGCTTCTTCAATAAGCTGTCCTGAAGCAGCTTGATCCTCAGGGCAGGGCACTGCAATCAGCACTCCACTGCCCAACTGCAAATTCAGGGACCTGGCTGAGGAAGAAAGGCCATTAACTGTGTTTCTCTGCTGAATAACTCTGTCAACAGGTGACAAAGGTGGCATCACAAATTTCATCGCTTATAGATGTATATGCATGTGCTTGCAATTTATTTCTTCATCCCAGTAGCCTCTGGTGTCAACTGCTTTGCACCCAATGAAGTTTAATGCAGCCGTCCAGACATTTTGGACTACAACTCCCATCAGCCCCAGTGAGTGCATAGATACGTGGGGGCAGCCATCCTTTTTTTCTGTACAATTTCCCTGGAAACAGGCGGCACGTTATGACATACAGGCACTTTCTGGACCATTCTGAAAGAGATTTTAGCAGTGTAGCATCCTGCTACTTAGCAGCTCCAAGTCACAACAGAATGTTTAAAAAAGAAAAATTATAAATAATAATTATTTTGCTTACCTTACGTTCCTTTGAAGGTGACCCGAAAACTACAACTAATCCAGAATGCGGCAGCTAGACTGGTGACTGGGGGTGGCCGCCGGGACCACATAACACCGGTCTTGAAAGACCTACATTGGCTCCCAGTATGTTTCCGAGCACAATTCAAAGTGCTGGTGCTGACATTTAAAGCCCTAAACGGCCTCAGCCCAGTATACCTCAAGGAGTGTCTCAACCCCCATCGTTCTGCCCGGACGCTGAGGTCCAGTGCCGAGGGCCTTCTGGCGGTTCCCTCATTGTGAGAAGCAAAGCTACAGGGAACCAGGCAGAGGGCCTTCTTGGTAGTGGCGCCCGCCCTGTGGAACACCCTCCCATCAGATGTCAAACCCAGCCAGATGGGCGGGGTACAAATAAATTATTATTATTATTATTATTATTATTATTATTATTATTATTATTCCAATCCACGCACAGAGCCAAGACAGTGAAACAGGCATATTCACTCTAAAGAGCAGGTTGAAACAAGGTGGCCACCCATCACTAATTTCAGTAGGTCCAGTGCAGGAACCCCCACCTTTTTTAGACAGACACCCCTAAGCTGTTGAGTAGGCTCTTGTCACTTGGGGTGTAAGAGGTTGCCAGGGCCGCTGCCCCTGCCAAGTCTCAACACCAGGATACTGAAAACAAGAGAAGATATCCAAGGATGGAAAGGAGCACGTGGGACAGATTTGTCCTGCTCCCATGCACATTTCTTCAAAAGTAAACCCAACGGACTACAATGGGCTTTGTTCCCCACTATGTGGGCAATGAACTTCCGCCTCAGGGAAACTGAGTAGCTCATTGGTTTGAACTCAAAACCTCCATTCTCAAAAAGCGCTTTGTTCCACAGACAGCTCACCAATCAGCTGTGCAGCATCCTCCTCGTTCTGCACATGATATGGGGCCTGGAAGCCACTCTGATGGCAGAAGAAGGCTGGGAACTCTCTGGAGTCGCCAAAGGTGGCCACACAGACACCTTGAGTCTCCTGCAAAGGTGAAGACCGGGGGCAAAATGAAAATACTATACGTGGTATGAAAGCAAAAACCATCTTTGCTGGGTTATGGACCTTACCACACTACAGAATCAAATGAAATTTCCATGATCCCAGGTCAGACCATTGGTCCAGCTAGCTCTTCACTGTCTGCTGCAATGGGCAGGTGTCTTTCTTAGATTGACTAGCTGAGGGCCTGGAGATGTCAGAACTTAGGGACTTTTGCACCCGTGACACAAGCTGTATCACTGTGGTACAGCCCCTCCCCAAACAGGAAACCCTTACCGCTCTCACACAAAAGGATAAAATACATGCCCTTTCCTTCAGCTCCATGGACTTGATAGAATCCAATCTCATGAACTAGATGCAAATCTCTTTCTTGTTTTGTCTTTGAACTGTGTCTAAAACCTCAAAATATATACATTTTAATTGCTATAATCTCTATAATGCATGTGGGCTGCCTGTGGCTCGTAGATGTATTCATTGCAGCCCACTGTGGGTACACAAGCCACCCAACTACTTTTAAAATAAAATAGGTAAGAATGTTTCTGTGTTAGAAACTTAGGCCAGTTTCAAATCAATTTGATTAATGCCTTGGTTGCAAAGGAACATTCATAAAAACAGGTAATTTGCCTCCTTCACCTCCACTACGCTCATAAGAGGGATAGGCATATCTGTCAGTTTCACTTTCTCCTTTTCCCAATGTTAGGTTCAGTTTTCCACATTTCCACATAAGTTTGCACTTTTTAAAGTTCTCATGAAAGTTACTAAGAATTTTAGTGCAAATTACATTCACATGCAATTTTGCCTAATATAGATTTTTTTTGCAAAGCAAAAAATTTTGTAGGTTCTTTTCACTAGCATATGCATACTTTGCCCCAGTATATGCTTTTTTTGTACACAATACTTGGCCAGAGAACCGGATTGCAAAATTCGCAGAACTGAAAATTCAGAAAGCTGGCTGTGTTTTGGTTTGCATATCGCTTTGGAAAGTATAAATTACGGGGGCTTGCCTTTAAATGTGAACTTTATCGAATTCTCCACTATCCCTACTTCAGAATATCAGAGTTCTGAGCAGGACAGCCATGACAGTACAACTATCCATTGAAATATGGGAGTAAATTCTACTTGAAGCTGGAACAACAGAACTGAGAAAGGCCAGATTAACCAGCCTTCTGTCTCTTGTTCCTTCCCTCTGCACTGCATTTGTGGCTCCTTACCAGATATTCCAATGTCCTGCCAATATCCAGTATAGACTTCACACCTGCCGAAATCACGGCAACCGGAGTACGGCCTAATTCTGTCAGGTCCGCACTCACATCCAAAGCTGAAAAGGACAGGGAGAAAAGACTGAAAAGACAGTGGCCCTGCCAAAATTCATAGCCACCAAAATGGGCAAACTGGTGGGGGTGGGAACCAACATAATTCTGTATTAAAGTAACATATGAAGTTGCCTTATAATGAGTCAGACCATTGGCTCATCTTGCCATCCACTCTAATTGGCTGTGGCTTTCTACGGTCTGAGGGTCAAACAAGATGCAACTTCAGCAGAAGAATCCAAGAGTGGTGCATTCCATGTTGCCACCAGAGATGAAACAGGAAAGTGCCACCCTGCCCTTTCGCCGCCACCGTCCCTGCTGAAGCCTCCCTTACCTGCGTTGTTTGGCAGCATCCACAAAACGGCAGTGGCAGGATCTCATGGACCAAATGAGAATTCATGAGATTTTGTGGTATTTCAGTGCATAGCTGTCAACCTTCCTGTTTTTTTGCGGGAAATTCCCTTATTCCAGCGCCGTTTCCCGCTGCTTCCTGCTGCTATCCCGGATTGTTAGATATCCCGTAGACTGTCCCCAGGACAGGTGAGGCTGCTGATCCCTTATTTTTGAGGCTGCTGATCCCTTATTTTCAAATCTGAAAGTTGACAGCTATGTTTCGGTGAGATCTCGGTACTACTGCTTCTCCATCAGTGGCAGAGGGGGTGGGGTGGGGAGGGCAGCGTGCCTGCAGAGGCACTGCCTCGTGGGCTTCTGCTGCCTGAGGCGGCTGCCTCAGCCCACCTCATGAGTTAGCCAGCCCTGGATTAATCCTATACATGGCTACTCCAAAATAAGTCGTGTTGGTTTCAGTGAAGTGAACCCATTGCTTTTTTTCTGGGGGGACGAAGGGGTACACATACCCCTAAACATTTTGTGAATCTTTGTCCATTTACTGTCTTTATTTTTCCTGATTTGAACTATAAAATGGTGATTTTCTTGAGTCAAAATGAGAGTACCCCTAACCATTTTTTAAAGGAAAAAAAAGCACTGAGTGTACCCCATGGCAAGTGTGTATAGGATTGTAGCCCTAAACGAGTGAATGCATTTAACCCGATGTGTTTTGAAGTAGCAACTGCAAGGTGTGTGGGATGGATCAGTTTTGAGACTGTGCTGTATATGAATTGGGGAGGGTGTCCTGGTTCCTCTCTATTCTAGAGGTGAGGGAGGGAAGAATGTGAAGAAATGCCATTAACTCAGATGTAGCCCATGTGATGCCCTGCAGATGCTGCTGGACTATAACTCCCATCATCCTTGTAGGCTGAGCTTATGGGAATTAGCATCCAAAAGTATCTGAAAGGCCCCAAGTTTCCCATTCCTAGAGGAGATCCATAAAATGGTAGGCGATAATAGGCCTAGAATTCATATATATATATATTAACATAAACATCATTTAGCATTTAACCTCTGGTTATAAAATCAAAACAGCATTTGGAATTTAATTTCTAGTTATAAAATTAAGTCTCTTACTCTTCTCTCCTCCGCGGTGAACCCCTCCAATTCCTCCTGTCACAAATACAGGGATCTTTGCTTTGTGTGCCACAATCATGGTTCCAGCCACAGTTGTACCACCAGACAAGCCCTGTGTGGAACAGCAAGTCATAATCTAGTTTGCGCAAGACCCTCAGCAAGGAGTGCTTAGATTCCAACCCTCTCACATCGTTCCACCACTGGGCAAAATACAGCAATGTCAGCCAACCTGGGTGGCTCGAAAAGCAGATTAGGCAAATTAACGGAGACAAGGCTTTCCATGGCTACTGGTCATAAGAACTGTAAACTACAGAGGTGGGGAACCTGGACCTAATTAAGCTTACTAGGTCACCCCATTTGGCCCGCAAGCAGCTGCTTTGGTCACCCTGCATGATGACCTCTGCTGGGAGAGATTCAGGGGAAATATGTCTGTTAATTCTCCTCGACCTCTCAGCAGCTTTCAATACAGTGGTGCCTAGGGTTAAGAACTTAATTCGTTCTGGAGGTCTGTTCCTAACCTGAAACTGTTCTTAACCTGAAGCACCACTTTAGCTAACGGGGCCTCCTGCTGCCACTGCGCCGCCACCGCACAATTTCTGTTCTCATCCTGAAGCAAAGTTCTTAACCCGAGGTACTATTTCTGGGTTAGTGGAGTCTGTAACCTGAAGTGTCTGTAACCTGAGGTACCACTGTACTATCAAGCACTGTATCCTTCTGGAGTGGCTATCTGAGTTGGGAGTAGGTGGCACTGCAAAGCAGGTTTCAAGTCCTACTGATCCAGCAGGGTCTTCTCATGTTCTTAGGTTATGTTCAGAGATTATGTGTGCTCTATAGAGATTTGAACCAGGGGAACATAAAAGAAAACAAACCACCACCTCCCCCGAGAATTCAGTCCAATACCTGACTGAGAATGTAGGGAAGATCTCTCCGAGACACCTTTATTGTTTTTTTGCTCTTGGCCAAAGTCTCAAGCTGTTCATTCTGGAGGCCCACGTGGATGCGACCACTTAAAATGCCGATAGTTGCTGGCACAGACCCATTTGCTCTTATTATTTCTTCTACCTCTCTGGCCATGCTGGTGCATTGCGAGCAATGCAAAAGAAGAAGAAGGCAAAATAAGTTGCCATGGTATTAAAAACTGTACTCCTCACCCAATCCCACACCACACCCTCATTTACATTTCATTTCCTTCCCCTGTGGCTACATAATCTGATGCCTAACAAATCTTGGGTTAGTTTTTAATGGCGATGAGGTCCTTGCGTTATCAATTTATGGCCAGATTGTCAGCACAGGGATAAATCAGATATGGGGAACCCTTGGCCTTTCAGGTGTTGTTGGGAGTACAGTTTCCATCACCTCTGACCATCTGCATGCTGACTGAGGCTGATGAGAGTTGGAGACCAACAACATCTAGAGTGCCACAGGTTCCCCAATCCCTGCTCAAAAATGTAGGTGGCAATCTGGGATCCCCACTGTCCTAATAGGGCTGCCTTTAACCAACATAAAACCTATTCTTTAGTATGTCAAGGTTATTGACCAGTGCTATTTTTCTAGAAAAAGAGGTGCCGGAACGCACCATGACCCCCTCCCCTGTTCTCTTATAATGGCAATGGAGCCCACCTGAGAGGTGCCGGGACTGAGTTCCGGTGAGCTCCGGCTGAAAAAAATGCCCTGGTTTTATCTATTCTGAATGGCAATCTGCATAGAGAGAAATCATTTGGTGTAGCCTTCCTCAGATTGTACACATTCCCTTATGTGCTGCTTTTCTAATTGCATTGAACTTTTTTTGACCCAGAGGAGTGTTCAAGCATGCAATTCCCTCACTTGCAATCTGCAGTGGTACCTTAATCCTAAAGAGACTGTGCCATCTGTTCATTTGCTGTGCAAAGACTGCCCCAGATAGGCTTATCAAGCTTCACTACCATCAAAAATGTATGGTTATAGGAATACAAAACAGGCTTAAGTGGATCCTACCCTGCATGTATATGTTTATTACTTGGTGACTGCAACTTCAGGCAATAGCTAGAACTTTTGAAGCAACCATTGAAGGTCAAATGTAATTGACAGAGCTGTCATTTTTCCTGATGACCTCAGCATTGTTATGGGGTGGCTGGGAGAGGAGGGCTCTTGTGGTGGGTCCCATATTTTCTGCCACTTCCATTTTCTTAAAATTTCCCCCAAAAGCCACTCACCCAGTGGCTGGGTACAATGCAAAATGAATTACTGGTGAAGACCTCTGCCACTCAGCCACCACCTCAACCTCCCAGGGTTGTCTACATTAATTAGCATATGCAAATTCTATGTAGATTTGTGTCAGGGGCCTCTGCCCCAAGTCCTTTAAATACCTAGCAATGCCCCTGACCCGGTGACCCCAGAAATAGTCCTTTTCAATGAAGGCAGTTCATGAGTTCAGTTTAGCTGCAGATCAACAAGCAATGAGATGTCATGAGGTGCATGCATGTGTGCATCAGTCTCTGGCCTAGCCCAGCTTGCAGCTTTTGCTGTGTGAGAAAATTACAGTCTCTGCCCACCTCAGATTCTGGGGATATGGCATGCCATGTGTAATGATGGTGCTCTCCAAGGCAACGACAGGCCTCCTGCTGTCCAGGGCCTCCCTCACCAAAGGATGGATGCAGAAGTCGCTGCCTAGAACAAAATATAAACACTGTCGCTATCTAATGGGAAAGTGTGACAATCAGGGCAGGACTTTGGGGCAGGAGTCCAGGGCCTCAAAGAGCAGAAGGGCTCCAAACACAGCAGGGCTTTGCTTGCATTTTGAAATGTAAGTGAAGTGACACACGATCTTTTAAAGAGGGAGCCCCTGTAAGGCCATTAAGGGTGCAGTCCAAACTCTGGTGAACAGCAGCTGGGCTTAATGGAATGTGGGAACCACTGCCACATCTGTAGCCCCCACCGCTTGCGCCGTCCAAAACAGAAGGCAAGGTGGGGGAGGAGTGGAAAATTTTGTACTTTTACTACAGCTGCTCAAGGCCTGCCATAGCAGAAAACTGCTACAACTTGCCAATAGCTTGGGATCCAGTGGGTCCTTGGCTAGCTGAGATCCACCCCCTGCCCTCCTCCCACTCCTGAAATGCCCCATGGGGGGGCACACATGCACCAGCTACCACCTGTGGAAAACCTCAGTGGCAGCTGCTGCCAATGTGTTGTTTTTGTCAGGAGTTCAGCCTACACTGGAGTAGGACCCTGGCAGAGACACACGCCCAACTGGCATGTTCCCTCCCTCCTGGTTGATCGTTCGGGAGCTTCATAAGCTTTCTTCAGCCCAAACATCACAGCGACTGATGCCAACAGACATCGGCACACTTAGGGATCTGCAGAGTCTTCGCAGCTTTGCGTAACAGACCTCAGCAACTCAGCATTTTGGCTAATCTACTTTATTTACATATAAACACACAGAGAGCACTGCAACATGGTTCCCTCTCTCTCTAGCATCAGACAGCAAAGAGAAAAAGAACAAAGGACAATAGTCCCACTTCACGGAACACAGTAACACAAACATCCTGTCTCCATCACTTCCCACTCTGTGGAGTCAAAACATATACCATTATTTGAAAGACAACAATCCCATGACTGCAATCATAGATCAGGAATTCTAACAGTTTTTGTGGGTGCAGTTGGGGCTTCTGAGGCAACAGAGCCACTCCACTGGCACAGCCCAGCACAGGCAAACAGAGGGGGACAGAGGGACACTGTGGCCTCATCCAACCCCCCTCCAGTGCAGTAGATTTAAAAATACCTAACTATACAACTGCTCATGATGTGTATTCTGAACTACAAAAAGCCTGGGTTTTGAAAGCAGATTTGTTGCATTAGAACAGTGGCAGACTTTGGGCTCTCAAATTCAAGCAGCACCCTGTGCAACGCTAACATTTGGTGTGTGCTTCCCCTTCGTTCTACATCGCTGCTGTGGTGCCCCCTGCAGTGTGGTGCTCCATGCAGCCAAACTAGTCGCGCTACCCTAACACTGCTTCTGAACTAGGGTGACAGAGAGCATCAATCCACTACAAATGCACAAATTAAATGCTCCAGTGTGCACTTGAATCCACCCTGCAAAATAATGGCAGTCTGAAGGAACCCTAACTGGTGATGAGTTATCAGGTGATGTACATGTATGCATGAACCAGCCTTAATACTGCACACAAGGGTGGCATAAAAAAGAGTACAATCTCTTCAAGAAACACTCACCGTTCAAGTATCTTCTTATTTGGAGAACACGACAAGCCACAGAAGCCACACGGCCTCCCAAGGTAAAGGCAGGTTTCAAAATCATTCTTTGATTGAAGAGAAGGCCAATTCATGAAGGAGCTGAAAGTCTGAAAGGAGCAAAGTTTGTGTCTGTTCTCAGACTTTCATTGACTTGCAAGCTGGTCCCTTCCTTATCATTTATTTAGGCATTTATGTCATTGTACCATCATATCATGCCCCTCAAAAGTGGCTTCCAATGTGTAGTCAAAGACCACAAATCAACCCATCAGTTTATAAAACTGCATAATATTCATGATAAAAGGGAAACTAAGGGGGAATGGAAATGAAACAGAGAACCTCCGATTAAACCTCAAATTTCCTTTTTCAAAGTTTTCCAGCCCAAATGGAAGCTCACGGGAAGAGCATCTGCCTGGCATGCGGAAGGTCTCTGGTCCAACCCTCAGCATCTCATAGGAGGGCTGGGAGAGGTTCCTACCTAGAATCCTCAAGAGCTGCTGCCAGTCAGTGGTCTGACAGAGTAAAAGGCAGCTTCCTACATTTCTAACTATAACAGAATTACAAAAGACACCAGCTAAATATTCAGGTAACTAGTCCAGGACCAACCACACAATTTAGTGCTCTCGGCCTTGCATTCCAGGATCACTATAATTAGAGTTCCTAGAACAATTTATCCAAAATTAGAGTGATTTCTCCATCTGAGTTAAGGACTGAGTTACATGGTGAGGTTTATATTGCTCAACTTAGTTAGCTCAGCACCAAGTATACTATTTACGTATATTGTTTTAAAGGCATACAAATTGTTGCTGGCATTGCACACAGGAAATTTTGTGTGCTAGCCACCCTGATGTGAAATACTAAAAACTAAATATCAACTAAGTTTACCTTTCAGGCAAATGCAGTTTGGTTTCACTATGAGTCCTTTTAAAAACTGTCTACACTTTGTTGAAACTAAGCAAGTCACCAATGTATTTTTTAAAATTATCTTATGCTACTCTCCTGAGCAAACCCTGCATTCTTAATGATAGGACCCTCATTTTTTTTTTCAGGTTTCACCCAGCTGCACCTCTGATTCTTCCCACCCTCTTAGCAATCTGGTATTTAACTAGCATTGGCCTTTGACAGCAGAAGAAGGTGGCAATGTGTCTGGTTCCTTACCTCTACGAGCGCTCCTTGTTTCCACCATATGCTGGCCGAACTTTCCATATGACCAGCGCTGCAAGAAGATGAGCCTGTTGGGAATTGCAACAGACTGATCTTGGCTCCAGCTGTCCTGCATTCCAGCCATGGACTCCACGCCAAGCAAGTCCATTTATCATTAACAGGATAAAGCAGCTGGCATTCTGGAACTACTCTCTGCCTTGGGGAAAGGGAAGGCTGTTGTCAAATTGGAGAAAACATCTGTGATCTCCATGACTTTTGGTGCTTTTCCATGCTCAGCACCGTCAATTTCATGCATCTCTCCGGAGAAATCAAAGTCAGTTTTGGATAATATTTCAGAGTTCCTATGGTGGTTTTATGCAAGAGCACAAAACATGCAATACAGCAGGAAAATAGTGGTTTTGCCATTTGCCACCCAAAATCAGGTAAATCTGATAAGAGGGGAAGGGGTGGAATCTGAGATTAACACAGGCTGCACTCTTTGAAACTGCCATAGCTATCAACTGTACTAGCTCTGATTGAAATGAGCCCCTTTCCCCTAAACATTGCTCAGCTGCTGAGCTGTTATGCAATGTTTATGAACTCCTCAGTTTTGTTTCATGAAAAAACAAACAAACTGTGCATGCCTAAGTCTCAGGGACAGATGGGGCTGTGTTGTGTTCAAGGGTCGCAATTCAGAATAGGTAGAAAGCTGTGCCATCAAAGCACTGTTCAGTTGTTAGGCTGTGTGTATGTGTTAAATGGTAAGAGTAACCTTTGAATTAACTTTTGTATGCAAATAGTGTAGATGTATGTATATGGATGTGAATGAATAAGTGTGACAGTGGGGAGAGTGGATTGAGAGAAGCCATTTTACACACAATTCACATCTGCAAATGTTTGCAGGTCTCCAGTTATACTCTCCTGTTGTTATACTTTTCTTCCTAGCTGTGCAACTTTAAAAGGGTGGGGTACGTTTTAACATTAATCAGCCATGCTGGATTGCTGCCCTCCATTGTCAATACATTCTGTATTACAACAGAAAATTAAGACTCCAATGTTACAATAACAGTTCCTTGGATTGAACAAGGCCCCAGATTGCCCAATTTTGATTGTGATAGAGCCTGATAAGTGAAATACTAACAAATGATGACAACAGATGGAGGAGGCATGGAGTGAATGATGAATCTTCTCACGCATTAAGCACACCTAAACATGTAAAGAGTTACTGAAATGAACATGTATTTGAAAACATATGTAAGGATCACTCACCTGTGTCTTTTTGTTATGCTGTTCCTCTCACTCATTACTGTGTTTCTTATACAGCAGGTCTGTGTGAGAAAGAATAAAGGTAAAGGTACCCCTGCCCGTACGGGCCAGTCTTGACAGACTCTAGGGTTGTGCGCTCATCTCACTCTAGAGGCCGGGAGCCAGCGCTGTCCGCAGACACTTCCGGGTCACGTGGCCAGCGTGACAAGCTGCATCTGGCGAGCCAGCGCAGCACACGGAACGCTGTTTACCTTCCCGCTAGTAAGCGGTCCCTATTTATCTACTTGCACCCAGGGGTGCTTTCGAACTGCTAGGTTGGCAGGCGCTGGGACCGAGCGACGGGAGCGCACCCCGCCGCAGGGATTCGAACCGCCGACCTTTCAATCGGCAAGTCCTAGGCGCTGAGGCTTTTACCCACAGCGCCACCTGCGTCCCTGTGAGAAAGAATAAGTGGGCACAAATATATATTTAAAAATGGCAACATTCAGAAACCAGGGACAGAACATTGTGGTACCCCAGGACACTCTGCTGCTGAACTGAAAGTTGCCATTTTTCAACAAAGAAACTTCAAAGAAATTACTGAATTGTGATCAAATGATCTTTACTGCTGCAAATCGTTTTATTTATTTTTGCAGCTTGGTTTAGTTATTAGTATGAATTATCTGTTTATTGATGTGTTTTTAGATCTTGGCTTTTTTTTTAGTGATGTGCATTGCCTAGAGGCTTATACAGCTTATTAAAAGAATAAAAATAAAGCAGAAAAATAAGATAAATACCACAAAAGGCTCTTCTTTCTATTTTCAATGGAAATGGGGAAGAAACGTTACATAAATATTTCTTGAGATTCTTCTTGGAAGCTGTCCACCAAACCATTGCAAGACACTGTAATAATCTGATGTCAACATGATGGAATAGTGGTATCTGCAAAAGTATTTAAAAATTAATAAAACAAATAAGGACCATTACATAATCCATGTTCTAAGAATGCATTCAAACAACTTGGTTTTGCCTTATTAAACATATAACATGTAATGAAAATGCATTGTGTCCTCTAAACATGCATGGCCTCTAATGGGCTGATGCTTTAGGTTAAATTTCTAAACTACCAGGAAACTTCTTTAATGAAAATAAAAGAACCGTTTTTACTGAAAATATGACCAAACAATGTACTGCTTACATAATCTTGACCTAGCTTTTGTTTTGTATCTGACCTCTTACTGTAAATAAGTTTGCCATGGTGGTGGTGTATATTTTATGTTTGAAAACAAAAAAGTAACATTATATTTTTAAAATTAAAAAAAAGCAAGCAAGAATTTTACTAAGAAGTTTGAGTCTATCAATTTGGCATTAAATGTGAAAATGCTTTCTTCTCCCACTATAGATGTTCAGTTGTATAGTAAAGCTAGGTTGGTTGTTTAATCTTCCATTATCGCTGATGTGAATGGTGATTGTGCGTTATTCTGTGTACATTAAAACTTTACACAGAAAGACTCTGTCCCCCCAAACCTTCTCTATATACTTGCATGTAAATCAGCTTCTAACCCTGTTAACATATAATATCTCTGGTCAGAGTCCTGCATTCGTTGCTGATTTGCGACCAGGCCAAGTTCTAGGCGTTACTATTGTGAAGAAATGATGTGAAACTATGTAGCTTGCAATCTGAGCAAGGCCACAGGCGGACATGTGGAATGCCTAATGTTTATGCGACCTGATAGTTGCAAGAAGGATGGGAAGGGAGGCTGAAGATAAGCAGGAGGAGCTGCTCTCAAGGCCATGGAACAGAGTCTACTTCAAAGGAACCCTGATAGACTAGGAATGTAGCCGCTGATAAGTGTACATGAGCAATGTATGAAAACGGCAACAAAATGTAACAAAATAGCTTCAAGTTCTTTGTTTGAGGATACATTGCCAGGGCAATTCTTGCCTCCATCTTTCTTGGCCATCAGATCACCCTCCCAGGTACTTTTGCATTCAGATTTGGTCTCTATTTGTATAGTCCCACTTGGATAACACACACTGTGTTAGGATGTGAGATTTCCCACAACACTATTAGTATGCAAAGCCCTTAACAGTTTGGGACCAGATTACTTGCAATATCTTCTTACCCGCTGACTGCTTCAGTCTGAGGAAACGGCATTGTTGCAGAATGCCACTTTTGTTCCATACTTTGGAACTCGCTGTCTATAGGTGTCAGGGAGGTGCCTTCACCGTACCATTTCAGGTGCCTGCTCAAAACACCTATGTTTAGACAAGTGTATCCAGACAATGTCAACATGCATTTGTTACCGGAAAAATCCGAGGGCTCTCTTGGACAAAAACAAAGACACCAACCAGGATAACTTGGAGCAAAACAGCAGCCTGTAGGCTTGGCCTTTATTGAACTGTTGCAACAGGGTATTCCCCTCACTCGCAGGAGAGAGGAAAGACCCAGAACAATGGGCTGCAAGACCTTATAAAAACTTTTGAAATTCCCCTCCTCTAGGTCAAGCCCACCCCCAGAAACATCATGCATACATTACAGAAAGGAGGGGTTGACATCATGCATACGTTACAGAAAGGGTTGACATCATGCATACATTACAGAAAGGAGGGGTTGAGGGAGGAGTTGTGGTGGTAACCTGAGTGTCCAGTCACCTGGCTGGTTCCTCCTTTCCCCCTCCCCATGAGTACTTTCCAGGTGACAATGGGGAGTTTGCAGTTTCCTGCCCCCAGAGGGAAGATCTGATCATTGTCCTTTGTTTCAGCCTGTGGTGAATCCACTGTTCTTTGTGATTTTGATTGTCTTCTGTCTGGGATTATCAGGGTTGACATAGCAACTGGGCAGGGCTCCTGTGGATGTGCTGGGATGGTGAAGGGACTTATGGCTGACCAGAAACCAAGCACCCCCCTTTGATAGTCCTTGTCACATGGAGTAAAAAATGGAACAGTGCAAATCCGATGTATGGTTGATTTTCTATGAATTTATAACAGAAATGTGGCGTATGTAGTGTGTGAGTGTGAGTGTGTGTGAAGTTTGTGCAAACAGAATGATTGGGGTGGGGGGGTTCCTGCTACAGTTCCCCCCTTCGGAGATAAGATTGCAAAGGTGGCTACTTTGCAATCCTTTTCTCCGCACAATTTAAGGTGGTAAATAATAACCTGGTATTCTCCGTCCCAGATGTGTGTGTCCATGTGAACCTGAAAGGGACTTGGATATCATGCTACTTTAAGGATATTTGCATGGAAATATAATGGTGTAACAGTGCACATAGTTAGACATAGGATATCACGTAAATTAATATTTTGTTGCTCAGTTACTTGTGGTATTCTAGCACCTTGGAAGAAATATTTTCTCAATAGTGATCTATGCTTTACATTTAGGCAGGAAGGTCCACTAATGACTGAAAAGTGCAGTTTGCTTCCCCCCCACCCATTTGTGTGTTCTCAGGTGTCAAGCTAGCTCTTCTGTGGTCTCACATCGGCATGGTGTCGCAGTAGTGGCAATCCCTGCTGAATCCACTTAGGGCTTTCATGTTGCCTGGCACCCACCACAGCTGGCACAGGTTTCGGGCACGTCCTGAGAGAAATGCCTTTGCCTTGGCCAAAATCCATGGGATTTCTTATTATTATTACAGGCTCTGGTCTTGCATCCTGGGAAGTTGCTCACTTGCACTTTAAGGACCAAAAAGCTAATTGCAGCCTGGATACACTTGCCCAATTCAAACTGAGTCCAATTTGAATTTATGTGCCCATGGTTCTCAAGTCCTCAAACCAATCTGTTAAAGGAAAACCGTTCTTAAAAGGGCACTTTGTCCAAATAAGTCAATTTAACTCTATAAGGGATCATTCCTGCTAAACCAAAGCATGTGCACCTTCATGTATCTTATAAGCTTCTCCTTGGTAAAGCAAGTTTTAGCACATTTTAAAATGGATAGGGAAAGTTGGCAGAGTGCCAAGTGGGACAATGAAATGTGGTTATCTAAACATTGGACTACACAATAGTGTGAGCTATCAGAAAGTATAAAATGCATGAGAATTGGTGTGCAAGCAATAAGACATTAAACATAAAAATTACACACAAAATACCCCCCCTTGTGGAAATAACACACTGTCAGACACATTTCAACATTCCTACATAATAACACTTAATACAAAACTAACTAATTAAATATCAGTTGCATATCTTGACACAATTGTGATCTTTTACGCATGTATCTTTTGAATTCTGGAGTGCAGAGGCTTGAGGTTCAAGTGAAAAGATGTCCTTGCAAGTCAACTCCACCCCCCTTTGTCAGGCCCACTCCCCTGGCAGTCTATATCCTTTGAAAGAGATAGCTGTGGGCACTTGAAAACTCTGGTGTTGCAGGTCTTGTGATGGCTAAGTTGAGGGGTTGTTGCTGCTTTTCATCATTGCACATTTGTAGAAGTGATATCCTGTAAGGGGGCAGGGTTTCGGGGACTTAAAAACAGTTAGACAAGGAAGAGGCAAAGGCAAAAAGGATGTCCTCCAGTTTCCATGGGAAGCTGCAAATAATAACAATCTTAGCACATTAAGCATTTTATTCATTTCAACATTATTATCACATTTCCACATAATTACTGTTATTATCTGCTAAGTTTGTTTGCTTTCCTTCACTTGGTTTTTTGTTGTTGTTATTCTTTTCATATTATAAAATAAAAATTACTCCACATGTATAGAAAGAGAAAACTGTAAAAATTACAAAGGTTAAAAAATACAAAAGAAAGCAAAAAATTAGATTACCAGTCAGATGAAAACAAACTTGACACAAAGACATCAGATTTAGAAAAGAATTATTATTAAATATATTATCAAAACCACGCAGATTACTACTAGACTGAAAAAATGGGAAAACCATGGGGGAAAAACTTTAAATTCACCATGTGCTATCTGATAAAAGAACTTCATGAAACTGACTTTCAACATGTGATGAACATGTCCCCAAAGTAAACACACAGACACAAAATGACCTATGAGGAACCAAAAATAAATAATGCTAAGACACACAATTTTAAGAACTCTGAAGTAACAATGAAAATAAAAGAGTGTTTCTTGATGTGACAACATCGGCTAAAATGTTAATAGGAAAATACTGGAAAATGACTTAATACCAAGAAAAATGAATGGCAATTTAAAATTGTGCAAGTACCTTGCACTAGCCAAAATGACAGAATTAAGAAATGCTCAGGCAAAAAGGTAAACAATACCATTCCACAAACAATGTTTGGTTGTGCTTCGATTAATTTCATATATATAATGGAAGAACTGATAAAACGAACTTAGTAAACGAAAACAAATTATTTGTAACCTAAAAAAAATGTCAAAGCCACAAAGAGATGGAAGTTACTAATATAGCAGGGATTCAGACTTGTTTCACAGAACAGAAAGAAAGTTGCTGTGGGAGGAAAAAGGGACAAACACTTTGTTATCGGGGTTCACATATCCTGTTAAAAGGGAAAATTTTTTCATGTGAGAAGCCTGTCAGGAAATGCTGTTCCTAAAATGCACACAAACAAAGTCTGTGATTTAAATCCCATTGAGGGGGGGGAATGCTTTGATATTTACCTGTGAAAAGAATTTTGGCATGTTAAGATTTGTAACCTGGAAAGCTCTTGACTTTTGATGGGCTAGTTTTGCTCATTTATATTCAGCATCACTGTCATTGCACCCTTGAAGAAAAGGAAACCTCCTCTCCCCCTTACAGTTCCCCCCTTCCTCTCTCTCTCTTCTTTAGCTAATCTGGCCTCTGTGCATGTGCAGAGTTCATGTCTCAGCAAACCTTTTATACTATTGAAAATGTTGCATCCTTTGGCTAAATTACCATTTGAATAAGGGAAGGGAAGGGTAAGGAGTAGATTTTGAAAACAGGGTTTGATTTTAAACAAAAAAGAGAAAATCAGCAATTTAAGTATTCACCAGAACTAGCAATTTCAGCCCAAGCAAACGAGACTGCTTCCTTTATGTACAGGAAAGGGCTAATGTCCCTCTGGCCATTCGCGGAACAATCAACCGCTCTCTTATTTATGAGTAAAAATGGCCAGAGTTAGAATTCATAGGATTTTTTTTAACATTCTCAGTCATTTTAGCCTTACCATTTACAGACAAATTTTATTATTAATATTATTATTTTCTGCCCTTTATTTACAGGAATGGTCAAGGCGCCTATGTATTCGTATGTGCTGAAACTTTGAGTTGACTTTGAAGTCTGATTTTTTTAAATAGTAGACAAAATGATAAACACTGTAATCACCCAAATGCTTGATGTTACCAGTTGTGCTTCAAAACATCATGGCTTCATCTCGCACCTTTTAAAACTAAAAAGCAAAGCTAGGCTGAATTTCAACTCCATCACGTCACCAGAATTTAAGAAGTACCCTCCAATGCTTGCAGACACATGTCCTTCCACACAGCCACAAATTGGGAGAGTTGAAAGAGACCTTGGGGTCATCTAGTCCAACCCTCCAAAATATAGAGTTCACAGCAAGATTTCACAGCAGGATTTGTACTATCAAAGAGACATACACATTTAAGTACAGATTTACAACTGGGTAAGGAAACATCTATGCTCATATCATGTAGTAAAGAAGAGGAAAATAAAAGTACATAACTTTACACAGAACCCTTTTTGCAGATCTTGAGATAGTTTGAGTGAGTTTGAAATGATATTTAAGGAAGAAGTGAACAGTTTTCGTAAGATAGGGAGAGGATCTCTTATAAAGCACAGTTAAAGCAGCCCTAGATTTGATTTTTTTTTTTTAAAGGGAATACACAAGTGTTGCCCCCTCCCCTCTTTGCAGTTTCCTTTAAAGGAAGCTTACTCGGGAGTAAATTTACCTGGCACAGAAGTAAGAAGGGAGAAAACAACTGAAAGAGGCAGAGTGAAACAAGGGAGAGGGGGGCATTTTCTAACAAAAGAGGCCATGAAGTCTTATAGAGACTGATATCAGGAGCCTTACAATAACTCTTCTGTCCAACCAAATCAAAGTTAAAACTGGACTCAAATATTTTTTTTCTTAGAATGAACACCATACTTTTATAGGCATACGCTTAATGAAATACATACACTGCATTTTAGCTTGAGAGAGCAGTTGTGCTCAACTAGGCTTTTGCAGCAGAAACATTAGGTTAACTTCTCCTTCCAAAATAGACTGGAGCAAACTCAAAAGTTACAACAAACATCATTTACCATTAGACTTAAAATCACCCTCCTCACTTAAAACTAGAAGAAAGAGGTGGGGTAATCCCCCTTTCAGAACACAAGTAGCACGTATACAGGATTTCACCACTTGGGAGGGAAACTCTCTTTTAGAGCCTCTCTCAAATAACAAACATTTGCACACTCCATTCTCCATTTTGTTTTGTTTAAGATCGATAAGGCGCAACATGGCTTCCTTAGATTTAAAATTTTGAAGCAAGCTTGCAATTTAAAACTATGTGCATTTAAGAACAGTCTGTGGATGCCAAGGCCAATGTAAATACAAACCCTTGAAATATTTCTAAATCTTTGAATACATCTCTTATTCATTTTTTTTTTTTTTTGCCTCTGAGCACCATTAAGTTTACAGTTTCATGTTCTAGCTTTAGATTATAGTTTAACAACACAAACTTGACCATTTTTGCCCCTTTATTTTATTTCTATTTTTTCTCTAATTGGAGATGACAAGCTGGGGGGCATATTAGAATCCTCTCTGGGGCAAAAAGGCTTCATGGAAGCTTTGTTGCCAGGAGGAGTCCAGCTAGGGTGTTTAGTGAGCTCCCATTCTCTCATATGTTATTATTGGGGGTTTTTTTCGTTAACGAAGTACGCTAAAGACAGAAAGAGTGGAAACACACACACAAGGGAGGAAAGAAAGGGGTAGAAGAAAGATTCTTTCAGTATTTGGGATATCCTTGACTTAGCGCAATCCCTACTTGTTTCTTAACCACGAGCTATTTGCTAAAAACCTCAAGCCTGAACGGAAACCTAAACCACGGGTCTCTGCCCGGAAACCTAAACCACGGGTCTCTGCCCGGAAACCTAAACCACAGGTCTCTGCCCGGAAACCTAAACCACGGGTCTCTGCCCGGAAACCTAAACCACGGGTCTCTGCCCGGAAACCTAAACCACGGGTCTCTGCCCGGAAACCTAAACCACGGGTCTCTGCCCGGAAACCTAAACCACGGGTCTCTGCCCGGAAACCTAAACCACAGTACTGTTTTCAAGACTAATCCTAGTGTGGGGCCCCAATTGTGAACCTCCCCTTCTACCCTCCACAACAGCCTCCTGCCTAGCCTTTGAGACTAAGTTTGGGCTCCCTACTGGACGCCTGCGCTGTGCAGTGCCAGATTGGGGGTCCGAGAAAACAAAGTTTTGAAAGGGGAGCAAACGACCTTGCGTTCTCACATACCCAGGTCATCCCTAACAAAGGTCACCAGGCAGGAGGGGAAGCTTCATTTGCATAGTTAGGGTAGGTGGAGAGTAAGAGAATACTTGAAAGACTCCTCTGGACGACTCCGAGAGAGGGATGTCAGAGAAACAGTAAAAGAGCCACGCTTTCCCGGACTCAATTCCAAGACGGAAAACGGGGGAGAAAAGAGATAGAGAGATTAAGACGTTCCTGGACGACCCCGGGGGGAACGTCGGAAAACAGCAAAAGGTACCACAATTTCCCCGGCCCAGCACCGCGTAAGAATTTGTGGGGAGAGAAAGGGAAAGGTTTTGACGTTCCTAGACGACCCCGAGAGATAACGTCAGACAGAAAAGTTCCGCGATTTCCCTGGCCACCCTCCGAGGGGGAGAATCGGGGGAGAAAAGGAGAGAGAGAGAACGTACCCGGCCGACTCCGAAGGGTAACGTCAGAAATGAAAGAAGGAAAGTCTGGCTGTCGTGGGGACGTTACTTTTCCACCCCCCCTCCCAATGTATTTACTTCAAACCATACTCACGTTCGAAGATGTCCCCCCGCAGATCCCGGGATCCTTTTCCCTTAGCCGGCTTTGACCTCGCCTTTGCTCCCCTGGTTGAGCTTTTGGTGACGATTGATTACCGCCCGCAAAGAGGAGGCAGGGAGAGGAAGAAGGATCTCTGGGCTAAGGTTGCCCAGTGGCGCCTGATCCCCTCTATCTCCCTCCTCACCTCTGCAGGAGAACCAAGTGTCCCTGAGTCTGGTCGCCATCTGTTACCGGAAAAATCCGAGGGCTCTCTTGGACAAAAACAAAGACACCAACCAGGATAACTTGGAGCAAAACAGCAGCCTGTAGGCTTGGCCTTTATTGAACTGTTGCAACAGGGTATTCCCCTCACTCGCAGGAGAGAGGAAAGACCCAGAACAATGGGCTGCAAGACCTTATAAAAACTTTTGAAATTCCCCTCCTCTAGGTCAAGCCCACCCCCAGAAACATCATGCATACATTACAGAAAGGAGGGGTTGACATCATGCATACGTTACAGAAAGGGTTGACATCATGCATACATTACAGAAAGGAGGGGTTGAGGGAGGAGTTGTGGTGGTAACCTGAGTGTCCAGTCACCTGGCTGGTTCCTCCTTTCCCCCTCCCCATGAGTACTTTCCAGGTGACAATGGGGAGTTTGCAGTTTCCTGCCCCCAGAGGGAAGATCTGATCATTGTCCTTTGTTTCAGCCTGTGGTGAATCCACTGTTCTTTGTGATTTTGATTGTCTTCTGTCTGGGATTATCAGGGTTGACATAGCAACTGGGCAGGGCTCCTGTGGATGTGCTGGGATGGTGAAGGGACTTATGGCTGACCAGAAACCAAGCACCCCCCTTTGATAGTCCTTGTCACATGGAGTAAAAAATGGAACAGTGCAAATCCGATGTATGGTTGATTTTCTATGAATTTATAACAGAAATGTGGCGTATGTAGTGTGTGAGTGTGAGTGTGTGTGAAGTTTGTGCAAACAGAATGATTGGGGTGGGGGGGTTCCTGCTACACATTGCAATCTGGTTTTCAGCTTAGCGGTGATTTTTAAATTTCTTTTAATGTTTTATATAGTGGTTCCTAAGCTTTCTTCCAATAATTTATTGTTTTGTGTAAACCGCTTTGAGGTTTTATTACAATCAAGCACGCGTATAAATCTGAAACAAATAAAAGTAAATCAAGAAATGTATTGTGATAGTAACAATTGGAAGCTGAAATAGAACGCTTTAGGCCTCTAACTGAAGTGGGTTCTTCTTATGCCAAATTAAATTATGTTCGTCTTTAGGATGCCACAAAAAGACTCGTCCATGTTCCCGGTGTGTATTTGGGCTTTGAGACCCCAAAGCTTCGCCCCGTAACCGAGCGAGCTCCCCGTGGAGCCGCGACAGAGAAAAGGGACCCAAAACTCCACAGACCTCTGTCGCCAACCGCCGCTAGCGCGAAGTGAAGCCCGACGCCCGTTTGCAGGCGGTTCCCCCGCCCAAGCCCCGCCTCCGGGTCTGGCGTCACAACTCCCCCACGTCCGTCTAACCCAGTGGGCGCGGCTTCACGAACGGCTACACCAATCAGAACCTTCGCTCTCGACCTCGTGCTTCCCCCCTCCCACCCCATTCTCTCCCTTTCTCTGTCGGCCCGCTTGTCCTCTTCTCCCAAAGCGAAGCGGGGGAGGGGGATAAGGTAAGCCACGCCCACCCCTCTTCCTTTCTCCTTCCTCCCCCTCCTTCTCCCCCGTCCATCAGCTTTTGCCCCGCCCTCCTGTCCAGCAGGCCGGAAGGATGAGCTCCCGGAAGTTCCGGCGGGGCCGTCGCTGTGTGGGGTAAACAGTAATGGCGGAGGCTGCGGTGGCCCCCGGTGGTGGCGGAGCCGCGGCAGCGACAGCCGCGGCAGCTGGAGCAGCGGCTGTCGCGGCCCCCAGCCCCTCCGCCGCCGGCGCCGCCGCCGCCACCATCTCCGCCGCCACCGCCACGGCCCCCAGCCTCCCCACAGCCGAGCCTCAGCCGCCGCCGGCCGGAGCCGGAGGGGGAAGCAGCGGCGGTTGGACTAAGCAAGTCGCCTGCAGGTAACGTGCAGAGGCGGTGGCGGGTGATGGCGCCCGTGCCTCCCCCCTCCCTCCCGTCCCCAAGCGCCCTCGGAGCCCCGCTCGGGCTCCTCGGACCTTCGAGCCCCCCTGCCTCCCTCGGGTCCTTTATCCTCCACTGGCAGAACAAGCGCGCACCGATCCTGGCCTCGATCCTTCCTTCTTCCGAAGCAGAAACAGGGGTCGGGGTGGTGGTGTGTGTGTATGTGTGTGTCGGTATGTCACCATTGTTGCCCACTGCCACCGTCTGTCTCTTATCTTCTTTTTTTAGAAGCCGGATAGGTTTTCTTGTCACGTGTCCTCCGAGATGTTTTGGTTTTGGGTTTTTTTCCGGCTCCTCCGCCGCTAGTCCTCCATGCGCCCTTTGTATAATGCTGCCTGGATCCTTTGTTTACTACTCGCTCCACATCCATCCTAAGTACTATTAGTTTTCATTTTCCTAGACGCAGATCTCTTTCTCTCTCGCCCCCACCCACCCCAGTATGATGACTGCAATGTATTCCTCCATGTGCTTCCCAATTAACACCCAACGCAACCCTCTCTGCTCACCGGGTTCACTTCACTTGCTTGTTCCCCTTGGTGATGCTGGCCTGTGACTAAAGGTGGCACTGATCTGTATGTACACGTAAGCCTTCCGAGTCCTGCTTAACTGCAGGCTGATAACATAAGATGTGTATGTGGGAGCAAAATGAAAAGGATTCCCTGGCAGCAGTGTTTGAAGTCCTAGGCTGAAACAAACTTAGATTGCAGTCCTTTACTAGGGAGTTGCTTTGAAGTAAACTTAATTAGGGCTACACTGCATGTCTTCTGGTTTGATCTACTGTAATTCTTTGCTAGATTAGTTTACTTAATTCCTCAGCAGTGGTCTGGGATGGAAGTGTATTTCGTTGCATAGGCCCTGAGCGCTGAGACATTAGAACAGCCTTCCCCAACACCAGACCTTTCAGAGGTTGTTTGATTGCAACTCCCTTCAGCCCAAGCCAGCATAATTAATGGTCAGGGATGATGCTAATTGTAGCCCCACAATTTGTGTAGGCACCTTGTTGGGATAGCAAGTTTTAAAATAAATATAGGGCATTGTAAATAAGTAGGAAGCACACACGTTTGGGCAAACATGGGGCCTTGTATACAAACCCCATGTGTTTTATTAGTATAGATATTTTTCTTGTTCATATTGTTTGGAAACAGTTTTCTCATGAGTGAAGCTGGATAAAAATTTCCCAGGATGGGATTCAAGTTGACCATCTCCGATCAGATCAAGTAAGTGAGATCACTGTTTTAATTCTTAATGCTGTGTTCTGTGCCAGATGCTGTAGTGAACACATAGAAGTGGCATAGTTCTTGTCCAGAGGTCTTCGTTTTGTTTCTGGTCACTTTACAGATCCTAACAGAAATAATTCTCAAAACAATGAATATTTCTTTTGTGAGTTTTGAACTTGAGTGGCTTCTGTAAATTTGTAGAACTTGAATTTTAGCATTATTCTCAGTTCTGTTCCAAGGTAATGTTGAGTGCTTTCTGAGTTCCAGCTCTTCCTTTACCTTGAAACTACTCTATCCTGGTCTGTTCTCTTTTGCAAATGGAAGAGTACTGTAGTTATAATAGTGATAGCTGCAGTTATAATTATTTAAGTGGCATGCTTAGAAATAAATGTGTGCGACAGTAGAAATAGCTTCAGTACTTTCAGTCCTTGAATTAAGTCTAGCATTTAGATTTGGTTATCTGAAGAGGTATCTGTGTAATCTTGGACACACCTGATTGTTTGTGTGTGTGTGTTGCTGCACATTGCACCTTTATAGAGTTGTGTAGGCAATTGAAATAGGTCTTTGTTTCCCAAGAATTATACAATCAAAAATGGAGGGGGAAAGCAGTGGGGAAATGTGGACAGATACCATTAATCCATCTGTATAAACAAAGAGGTACCCTAAGAGGTACATGGAGCTTGTAAAAGACATTGACATCTTTGGGTAATGAGCATTGTGGATTATGTAGTGAAATGTGTGACAGGACAACGCTGATGGCTCCCAAGTTTTCAAGGGCTAGATAAAAAAAATCGAACATAGCCAGTGTGGTGTAGTGGTTAAGAGCAGTAGACTCATAATCTGGGGAACTGGGTTCCCGTCTCCGCTCCTCCGCATGGAGTTGCTGGGTGACCTTGGGCTAGTCACACTTCTTTGAAGTCTCTCAGCCCCACTCACCTCACAGAGTGTTTGTTGTGGGGGAGGAAGGGAAAGGAGAATGTTAGTCGCTTTGAGACTCCTTCGGGTAGTGATAAAGCGGGATATCAAATCCAAACTCTACTTCTCTTCTTTAAGTAGAGTACAAAGAAAAACAACAAATACTGAGCCTGTCGTGTTTCCCTTAATTATTTGCAATTGAATCATAATATTTTGTTGTTGGAGATGTATCATAACACCATACCTATATCTTAAATTATTTTCATGCAGTGCAAGTTCCTGAGGTTCACAGTTGTCCTCAAGTTATCTAAGAAAATGCCCACAGGTGCACAGGAGGCATGAATGTAGTTGCCATCTCCCAAAGTGGGTGTATTTAGTACCCACTGCACCATCTTCCAGTCAGTGAAGTATGAGATCTCATCTTTTGTTCCCTATATAAGGAAACAAGATTGAGTCCTCATTATTTGAAAATGGCTTTATTTCCCTGGGTCCTTTCAATTGTAGTCCTTTAGATCATTCTTGGACCAATGTAACTTGGACTTCCTTCTTGCCTACCTATCGGTCAGATTGTTCTCAGTCAAACCTTACAGTTATTGTTTTCCTCGCTATATTAGGGCTTATTGGAAGTTTTTACGATTATTTTCTTGTTGCAGGAAATCTAGGGCAGTTTGAGAGATGTAACCTGTAGCTTCTGAGAACATAAGGGAACAGAGACAAGAGATTGCCTGTGAAGTGCAGAACTTTGGAGAGCTGGGTAGAAAAGTGGATAGGAAACAATTTCTAGCTAATACAGTGGTACCTCGGGTTACAGACGCTTCAGGTTACGGACGCTTCAGGTTACAGACTCCGCTAACCCAGAAGTAGTACCTCGGGTTAAGAACTTTGCTTCAGGATGAGAACAGAAATCGTGCTCCGGCGGCGCGGCAGCAGCAGGAGGCCCCATTAGCTAAAGTGGTGCTTCAGGTTAAAAACAATTTCAGATTAAGAACGGACCTCCAGAACCAATTAAATACTTAACCCAAGGTACCACTGTATACGTTCTTGCTACATATTTATGTGAGTTAGAGGATGTCAGTCTATCCGTTAATATAATTATGCTTTTGAACTGCTGCTCTGGTGGTTTACGTCCACAACTAGTGAATAACAACAATCAGTGTGCTTTTGTCCATCCAGAGGACTTTGTTGCATGGGTGGTATATACATATTTAAAATAAAATAATTATGATGGGAAGGCCAGCTGGAATTTAGCATCCATGTAAGATGATGATATGGAATGAACACAACAGTGTCTCCTTAATTTGAAAAAAATAGTAAACAGTATTATGATTGTATGCAGACTGTCACAGAAGATGCAAGGCTTTAATTGATCTTGTACCTGTTCCAAACACCTTTCACCAGTGATGCATAGAAATAAAAGATCATCCTGCTGCTGAAATATGTTGTTCAGAAAACTTCATAGCCCTCTCGTCTATTTATGCATTTTCATGCAATTTGTGCATACCATGTACCTATGCCAAGTAAAAAGTCTGTATAATAAGTGATGATTTGTGCAGTACTGTGTCACAACAAAACTTTCAATGCTTGTCAAGGTTTCATATTGTTCTTTGGAATGTAAGAGACAACGGATGCTTCACATGTATCCTTCTTAGTTTGAGGTGTGGGACATGCACAGAAGAGTAATATCTGGTTTTTTCAGTGCTATGTGCAGCTAGAAAGCCATTTCCAATTCATAGGAACATACACTAACTTATAGGAGCTTGGGCAGCCAGGCAAAGCATTAGGAATTTCCTCATTCCAGCTTTTATGTAAACTACATTTTTAAAATGTCAAGCTGAGAAATAAAAGTTGACTATTTTGGAAAATAGCAAGCACCATAGCAAACTAGCAAACTAATTGAATCTAATAAAAGAGGTGATACTAAGCTCCTTCAGTGGCATGTTTGTCCTCACCCTCGGTCATGATTTAGGGACTTCCCCTGCATGCAAAGACAACCTCTGGCAGTTTGAGTGGACAAGACCAATAGTGGGTCCAATGGTCAAGAAGGTGGTTTCTGCATGTTCTGTAGAGGAAAGTGAGAGGTAGATGGAGTTGTCAGCCTGGGAAGGTAGTCCATCTAGGAAAACTCTGATTCTAAACCTCCACTGCCTTTTGGGATATCTGTGGGAGGCTGAGGAGTAAACCCTACACAAATCCTATGACTGTTGGATAGCATCTTGTACACCTCCCTCTGGCAACTCCTGCAGCCAGGCTGGTGTGAAACATTTTGCTCTGCTTTCCTTTGGACCATATCAGTGATGGTGGGGGGGTGGGTCTAGTCATCTGGGCAGCACAGGACATCCATACTCACTGCCTAGGCTTGCGCCCCAGGGAGGTCACTTCAGTACTGCTAATTCAGTGGTTTGACTTCACCCCTGGAGGCGCACTCCTTTGTCTCCTAAGACAGACAGATGCTAATAAAAGTTTCTGGAAATGGGCACCTCTAGGTTTATGCCTGCCCAGTTCATTCTGAAGGAACATTATAGTTTCCCCTGTTATGAGTAACCCTTGACTGGCATGATAGATTAATTATCTCCCCTCCATACTGCTGGATCACATAAGGACTAAGCCATGGTGTGCCCACCAGGTAGCAATCATCTTCTAACTTCTGAAGCTTATTCTCCCTATTGTGTTGATTCCTCGCAAGTTGTCCTCAGGTGCTTGCTAGTAGTTTGTTGAACTTGAATGATGCCATCTGAGTTGGAGTGTGAATCTGCAACAGAATGTAGCAGAAAAGTCATGAGGTTTCACATAAGGTTTCACATATGACC